CATGGTTTAGCATGCGGAATTAAAGCTTGCACAATTGAACATGGTGAGTTGGGTGTTTAAGAGATATATTGAATGTATATGGTGTTACGAAAAGGATCTAGATCTAGAATACATAATTAACACACACTTACACACTCACTTCTACATCTCTCAAAGCACACCTCTACAAGTGGACAAACCCACTATTTATAGAGGTGTTTACATGTCTCTCTCTCACTCTAACTAACAAATGGGTCTAAAGGTTAAAGCACCACATGCAAGTGGGTTTTACAAAAGTCAAACATTTACAAAGTCATGAGTGAATAACTTTGCACCCTAACAGAGTATCCTTCATAAAAGGGCAAACCACCAAAATGTAGTTTGTCTCGTCCATCCACATGTGGCACATATGTCAGGAAGTGTTCGAAACATGAATTCTTCTCGTCGCAAGGCTTTCACTGAGGGCTGTCTAAACAAGCTCAACAAACAAAACAAATAACTTTCAAGGGCACCACATGAAGCTAGAGGATAAGGTTGCCCACCAGATGAGTCACCTTTGAATCAATAAAAACTCTAAGGTCGTGCATGTAAGAGTTTGTGTCACTCGAAAGATGGACCGAAGAGATGATATCATTAAGATTATTTAGCTCCCTAGTTTCCAAAGGGTTCGTGTTAACCTTTTTCCAACCCCAAGTAGGATTGCTTTGCGAAAGCCTCTTAGAGATGAAACATTTTTTTCCTTTTGTCCAACTAAAAAAGGAGAGAAATTTCAAAGCCATAGACCTATTCCCGTACCAGTCATCATACCACATCTAATACGGAAACCTAAGAAAGAAGGCAATGAGATACCTAAATCCTCTAATACAAGGAAAATCTTCACAATATCATACCAAATTCCATAAAGCGCCTTTAGGTTATGAGTGCTAGAAACAAAATGACTCCAAAGAGCAGTAGTTTGTGTCTTGTATTTCCACAACCACTTAATGAGAAGGGCTCGATTCAAAGCAAACAGAGAGTCGACACCAAGGCCTCCAGATTCTGTAGCACATAGGATGATATCCCAAGCAACCCAACATAATTTTCCTTTTTCTTTACTGCCACCCTAGAGAAATCTTCTTCTAAAATTTTCAAGGTAATCAAAAACATATTTACGAGCCTTGAATATAGAGAGATAGTAAGTTGGAAGACTACCAAACATAACTTTTTATAATGTTAACCGGCCACGAAACGAAAGCATGTTAGCCTTCCACACAGATAATCTATTTTGAACGCGTTTAATAATTAGTTGCCAATTCCATCTCAGCGACATATTAGCACCAACCAAAAGTCCTAGGTATTAAAAAAAGAAAGGAAGCAACATCACATCCTAGAATACGAGCATAACTAGCGATTTCATTATCGGAGACACCGATCCTTAAAACCTTAGACTTGTGAAAGTTGTCTTTTAAGTCGGAAGTAGCATGGAAAAATCTAAGAATACGTGTTAGGTTTCCAAAGTTGGAACAAGTCCACTCTCCTACAAAGAGATCATCATCAACATAAAATAAATGGTAAATCGCGGGCCCCTCCTTTGGAATCTTGACACTTTGGAAAAGCAACAATTGACAAGCAGATTGCATGGCAATATTGAGACCCTCCATTGCAATAATACACAAGAATGGGGAGAGAGGGTCTCATTTCCGTACACCTTTGGAAATGCGAAGTTCCTTAGTTATGGATCCATTTATGAGTACTAAGGCTCTAGAGGAGGAAAGAAAACCTTCTATCCAGAAAATCTATTTCTCATTGAATCCCATTTGAGACATGACCAAAACCAGATAATTTCAATTGAGGGAATCGAAAGCATAGTCGAAGTCGACCTTGAATAAATACTTCTTATTCTTACTCTCCTTAATCCATGTACACACTTCATTTAAGATTATGGTACGGTCAATGATATTTTGACCTTCGATAAAGGCGGTTTGAACTTCATCAACAACCAAACCAATGATCCTTTTTATCCTAGAAGCAAGAGCTTTAACAATGACTTTATTCACGCATCGAATGAGGCTATTAGGACGGTACTCATTGAGAGAAAGTCGACGTTAACCTATCAAGTTGTAAGAAAGTGACTTTTTCCGTGAATCCAATCATTTAGCTATTTAAATTTAAATCATGATTCATTGAACTTTATTTTTATTTTTATTTCTCTATTATGATTGTTATTTCAGGTTTGTCATTTTGTACAAAATCAAAGTTATAGAAACGTCATCATTTATACATTTAAGTTCAAATCATGATAATTATGCTTTTGAAGAAAATTATAACTTTTTTAAAACTTTTAAAAGAATTTACAACATTTCATACTTATTTAAAAAATAGTTATAAATTTGTTTTATTATTATTATTATTATTATTATTATTATTATTATTATTATTATTATTATTATTGTTAAAACTTGGTTTACAATTTTATATAAAAATCTTACACTTTCATAAAACCTTTTTTAAATGAAAATATTTCTAAATGTTAAGCTATTTTTTTTTCACGGTTCCATACAATTTTCTTTACAAATTTCATACAAATCTTTGTAAAAGTTTTTTATAATATTTTATGACTTTTTTATTTAAATATTTTCTTTATAATATTTTACAATACTTTTGATTCTTAAAACACTGAACTTTAAGACCAAATGCTAACTTAAAACAACAAAGGATTCTAACTATCTTTTGCAGAATTGCTTGTTAGAAATGTGGAATTACCTGCAAAGTAATATCAAGTTAGCATATGTTCGGCCTCTTTATGATATTTGTGGGTTGTGGTTCTCGTATGACTAGTAATGCTCGAAATGACATTATTCTGAAGCAGAATTTGTGTAGTACGAGATAATGCATCTAATAAATTTCCATCGATAGTTTCATCGTTGGATAAAGATAAATTTAAGGGATTTTCCTTCATTACTATTTTCTAGACGTTTAGATTCATTTTGTTAAAACGTTAGAGAATGGAATGGAATGACAATTAGAAAAGGAATGTAATTGAAGAATGTGTGGTTGTTTAATAAGGTGAAGGTGGTTATTTATAATGGTAAAAAACCTTGTTGACCGGTCAAAAGTAAAAAATAGTAAAAGAGGGAAATATTTTATAAGTAAAAGAGGAGGAAAGATATGACTCTCAAACCTGCAGTACCCCACCCACTCAGAACCGTCACCGCTATAGTACTGACAGTATCGTCGTTCGTCTATGCCAAACTGACGATGAATCCGCGTACCCCAAGTGAGTTGCTAGAAAACCGAACATTTTCTAATAAATCATACACTTTAAGATGGATTGAGGATCTATCTGGTAGATTTTCTATTCAATCTCTTAGAAAAAGTTGTTGACTATGCTTTAAACCATCTCCAACACATCTCCATTTCTTCCTCAAAAAATGGAGTAAAAATTTGGTAAATAGTGTTTCATCTTTAATCCTACTGTATTTTTACTCCAAAAAGTATATTCATAGTATATTTTTTTTATAACTTACATATATTACCAATATACCCTTCTACTAATTAGCTTTTAACACACACACACACACACACATATATATATATATATATATATATATATATATATATATATATATATATATAATCTATATTTTTTCATTAATATAACATTAAATAAATAAGATTATATTTATAATACATTTGTATAATAAATTATCTTGTTTTACAAGTTCAATATGTATTTAAATGAGAAACTAAATATCCTCCTATATTTTATTCCTACTTATCTTCCTACCCTATCAAATGTTGACATGTGTCATATTTAATGATACATTTAATGAAATTGATAATATTTTAGTCCACTTGTCACCATTTAGTGTGGGTAGGAGGATAGTAGGAATAAAATGTAAAATGATTTTTAATTTCTCTATTTAAATTTGTATATGAATTTGATACACAAAAAATAAACTTTATATTTATAATTAATTATGATAATTTAATATATAACAAAATATTATAAATATTAAATATTAAATTTAAATTATAACTAATAAATAAAAATAAATTAAAAATGTTTAAATATATAAAAAGAGGGACTAAAACAGATAACTGAAAGTTCATCCCAGTTTTGGGAGGAAGCAGTAGTATTACTCAATATTTGGTGTAATACTATTAATTTATTCCAAAATAGGAGAATAAATAGGGTATGTTTAGAGTAGAATGGAAAAAAAAATGAGAAAAAAATAGAAAATGGGAGTGGGCTGGAGATCCCGAGCCAGTTTTGTTTAAGTGGAATCCTTGGCTTCTGATAAGATAAATCGTGTCATATGGAAGTGTTGAAATTATAAAAGGTATTTTCCTAACTAATCCTTTATATTCTTTCTAATATTTGTCTGTTCAGTTTAGTTTACAGATACATATATACAGAAGTTGAAGGGTGTTTGGTGTAATTGTGTTTGAGTTTATACGTAGGTTTTCGTGTCATTATTACTCAATGTATATAATGTTAGTTTGGTTATTGTTTACATTATTATTCAGCTAGATATTTCCTTTGTATTTTCGCTCGTTCATAGTCCTTAGCAGATTAGGGTTTCACGTTTTAAGGAAAAATCATCTTTGGTTGTAATCTATTTGTATATGTGTGATTCTTGTTGAGAGTAGAATAAGAATTATGTGTTTTGGTCAAAAATCGATCAAATGGATATCAACCAAATTGAATTAGAGGCTGTGGTGTTATGAATAATATCAGTATTGAATTGAGATCAAAATCACACAAGTGGTTTACAAGGAAATCCCTTGATCATTAATAGGAACTCCAACATAAAACCATGGGAGGTGATAATGATCACCCGTCTTGTTTGATTATATTGGTTTGAATGCAAATTATAGAAATGATAATAAGAATACGAGTACAAGTGTTTTAGTAGCTCTAGATGTGTTTGTAGTGTGAATTATACATGTGTATTTGAATGCAAATCGGTACCGGTATCGGGAATGGTATTGGTACTCGGTAATAGTACCGGTACCGGCGGTACCGATTCCCGAATTTCATGTATTTTGAGTACCAAGTACCGTTCTTATTTTTAAATTCGGTACGGTACCGCTACGAGATCGGGATTTGGGACAAACTGTTCATCCCTTGTTTCTCTATTGTGAGAAGTGATGGAAAGAAGGGAGACTGGGATGGATCTGCCGGTGATGATGAACGGAGGTGCTTTGCGGTCAATTTCGGAGATGGCATTGTCGATTTCGATGGTTGTTTCCCTCTTTCCCTAATTATCTTATCGATGCTCCTTCCTTCCCCGTCCCGACTGTCGCCTTACCCTAGTTATCAACGCTCCTTCATTCCTTCCTCACTTGCCTTCTTCTCTCTCTCTTCACCGTTTCCATCTCCTTGCATTTCGGGTCATGTCTTCACAAATTCGACGAAAAGAACTAGGGCTTTCAACCACATCTCAGTAAACGTAAGTAACCTTTTCTTGTCTGTACTTCAACAGTTCTTTGCCAGAAAATATCTCCAGAAGTCGATCCCGAAGCTCACCCGTGTCAATCGGACATCGAAACGTCTGTTGAAAGACAATCACATCGTCGCGTCGAATCACACACCGCCAGGCAGTGGATTCATCAATGATTTGAGAGATTAACTGATCAAGAATTTATAATTTAATCCATGTCTTATTTACTACATAACAGAGAGTCGAACCACCACTCATCAAGGATTCAAAGGGAATTGCTCGAGCTCCAGGTCTGATTCTAGTTCTTCCATAATCATTAAACACATAATTAACTCTACACAAAAAAAAAACCTCTGTACCTATATTTAAAACATTTAATTTAAGTGTAAAATGCAAAGTGTTGATGGAATTCATGTAATAGTTAGGTTACCGAAGTTGCCAGTGGACAAAGTCCTATCAGCACCACGTAGCACTTCAGTTTTATATCCAAAAACAGGAGGGAACCTCCATTGCTTCACTGCCATAACCTCTTGTGCTGTACTTGACATTCTCACACCTCCGTATGAAGAATATTCCGAAAGAAAATGTACTTATTACTGAGATTACCCCTACTCCAGTTTTGGTAAGTTGAGCATAATCTTTTACTTGATTTTGTGAATTTGTAAAGGGTTGTTGTATTCTTTATCGGAATGACAGGAAGTGGAGATGATTTGATTGATGGAAAAGAAGATGGATATGCATGTGTAGAGGAGATACATGCAGCAGATGATCTATATATGAGACAAGGCATCTATGCGAGACTGCCTATTCGGATGTAAGGATTGTTATTGGTGGTTAGCGCTTACAGAACTTATGATGATTTATTCCGTCTTGAAATAATCGTCTAAACTGCTCCTTTATTTTTACCTGTAACACTTTTATTTCCACTTTTTCCCTTGATTTTTTATATAAGAATTGTTCCTCAACTTCAAGATTATGCTGTACGTGTGATTCTTGTGCCATCTATACGCCATGCACATCATGACTTGGTATTTCCTCAGGTAAAATTATCATTTTATTGTGAATGAAAGAAATATTTATAAATATTACAGTAAGTTACATGTTGGTCCCTGAGTCAAACCACAGTAATTTTTTACTTAACTTTTTGTTACCCGAGATGTAAAATGACGTATATGTCCTTACAAGGGGATGCAGGTTACCAAGATGTAATAGAATGCTCATATGCCCTTTCCAATGTATGTAAAGTGTAAACCTCAATGTGTTCATTTATTTCTATTTACACAATGAAAATAATACTTATAACTCATAATTCTACAGTTATTTCATGTAAGCCCAGATGAAATCTTGATAGAATCAACCGGGGTAATTGGTCAACGAATAAACAAGGTAAATAACATAGCAAATTCATTTATAGTCAAATCTTGACCACTTGTTTGACTTATCATATTATGTGCATGAGCCTCTTCTTAATTCACTTCTTAAGTTAATTAGTTAACTTTCATCAAGTGTCAAGGGGTAATGTTGTAATTTGTAACTCCTTGTATTCCTTTTCTTTAAATGTTAAATTAATTATCGATTCTACTTTCGGTTTGTAGAGCAGTTTCTGGTGCTGTAGCAATAACAAGTGATATTGTGAGCAAGATTGTAGCAGTAGAGTTTGAGGTATAATATTTATATTTATTTGCTTACTTTTTTTTATTTCATTTATTATCGTTTTATTAAAAAAAAAGTTATTTTTTAAGGTTGGTGGAAGCCGTATAAGAATCAGGGGAATGGCAAAAGGTTCCAGAATGATCCACCAAAACATGGGAACACTTCTTGGTGTATGTACTAATATTGCTATATTATTAATTTATTACCACAAAATGTTTTGTAAATTTTTTTTAATTGATTCAAAAAAATTGTCATTTTTCAGGTTATATCGACTGATGCTCGTGTAGATACTTACAGGTTGCTGTGAATCGAAGTTTCAACCACATTATTGTAAGTAGTTGCATCATTAAAGGGTATTTTAGTTGTTTAACCAAGAATGACATGTGTGTATTAATAACTAAAATATTGCTTATTAAATGTTGCAGGTAGATGGGGATACTAGCACCAATGATACCATTATTGCTTTGGCTAGTGGTTTATCTGGATCAAAGAGGATATCATCATTACACAGTTCTGAAGGAAACCAACTACAAATGTGCCTTGATGCAGTATGTTTAAATTACCAATTTACCCTTTTGTTGTTACATGCATTTTACAAGTGTGTTTTTTTTGTTAAGGTAATGCAAGTGCTTGTCAAATCAATAGCATGGGATGGAGAAGGGGCAACATGTCTGATAGAGGTCTTTAGGCCCGGGCAATCTTGATAAATGTTAGTCAAGCAAATGCAACCACGGTAATTTTTTACTTAACTTTTTGTTACTCGTGATGTAAAATGACGTATATGCACTTACAGTGGGATGCAGGTTACCAAGATGTAATAGACTGCTCATATGCCCTTTCCAGTGTATGTAAAGTGTAAACCTCATTGTGTTCATTTACGTCATTTTACATCACGGGTAACATAAAAGGTAAGTAAAAAATTATCGTGGTTGCATTTGCTTGACCAACATTTATCAAGATTGTGTGTGCCTAAAGAGGTTGCATAATTAATTTTGAGATAATCATAACTTAAATCACATCCCCATGCTAACCATGTTCCTGGTCCATCCCCTGTTCACATTCCACACAAAATAAATTAGATTGATTGTGCTCTTGTTTTGCACACAAGTGTATTTTCGTCATTTCTTCTCTCTAGTTTTATCTCGGTAACATGATAAATTAGGTTAATTTCACTCTTGCTTTAAATAACATGTTTTGAACAAGAGTAATATTTTAGGTCATATTTAAAAATAAACAAAATAACCTTATTTTTGAAAAAGGGTATATAATACGTAATTACAATAAGAGAATAATAGATAACTCAAAATAAGGGCAAAATGTTCATTATCCCGGAAGACAAGATAAAGAACATGTTTTGTGTATCTATTTATAGTACATATCTTTCACATAACATAAACAAGTCTTTAAATTCCATGCATCATTGACCTGATAATATTTAGTTATAGTTAGTTGTGTACTGTTTCCATGTTACATAATTGATCAATACCTCACTAAATTGATCATCTTTTACAGCCAATTTTGGTGTACATGTCCAAGGTTGATGGGATGTTCAATTTTAGCCCCATCAGTGTTAACTTTCTGACAGAAGTTGCAAAAGTTATCTTTGCACTTGTCATGCTTCTAATACATGTATGTTCTTTATTTCTTAATTTTATTATATTTATCTTCTGCTTTTGTTTTGGAAAACTTTTGTGTGACCTAAACTTATCTTTCATTTGTTTACACCTGAATATATATGATGCTAACTTGTTGGTCTGGTTATTAGGTATTCTGCTTTCATTATTTACATGTTATCTTAATTGATTTTTAAGTTCTGAACTTAGTGTAGTACTTTTTCCCTTATTCCTTACAAGTTGGCAAATTCTTTGTTAATTTTCATGCTAGAAATCCAGAAGATTGGAGAGAAGCCACTTCTTTCTGTCTCTAGCTTTGTACTGTCTCTAGCTTTGTACAAGTAAAGTTGCCACATTTTCCTTTTTGAGTAAACATATTATGCAATGGTTAGGCTTCTTCCAACAACAAAGTACTCATTGTATTCTTAATGATTCCAAATTCAACTTTATGCTAAGCTATAAAATGCTTAAAAGTTAAAAATTTATACTATATCTTATAACCTATAGAATAAGTTCAGTTTTTATAAAAGCAGCAACAAAGCTTATGCTTATGTCTTTATGTTTGCCATGGTTTTCTGCAAGCAGCTCGCAACAATGTGCTTCTTTTTGTTCCAGTATTCCTCTATGCTGTTAATAACTACCTAAAGTTCACTAGCAACCTCCTTCCATGCCCTGTAGCCTCTCAAAGTTCCTTCATTCAGGTTATTCTATTAGAAAGGAAATTTTCAAAGGAGATTGTCAAAGGAGAATTTAGTTATGGGTTTCTTTTAATGTTGTATATGGTTTGTTTTCTATAATAAATATTATGCAATATTAGCAATGTGTTACATTTACTTACTATTGAAATAATTATTTGTATTTGACATATTAGTGCAATGAATTATTCTTATTGTTTATGGTATTTTATTTTGTATTATGAAACTTTTAATGTGTTATTTAATTTCCAAATTAGTAAATCTATCAAAAATATATAATTTAAAAAACGTTTAAAACTGTGACACGCAAAACTGCATCTCGTCTTCCTTTATGACACATGCTTCCTTGATACGTTTTGTGTGTTATAAACACGCGCGTTGTAAGGTTACGACACACAAATGCATGTCGTCTTCCTTTATGACAGGATCTTTCTTGATACGCATTGCGCGTCATAGCTGCGCGTCATAAATGTGCATCGTAAACAGACGACGCGCAAATGCACGTCGTCTTCCGTTATGACAAGGCCTTTCTTGACGCACATTTGCGCGTCGTCTGCGCGTTTTACGACACGCATTGCGCGTCGTAAAAGGATGTTTTTCTAGTAGTGGTAACTTTATCAAATATAATATTATAATGGTTGTGGTTGCTTTGATCATTTATATTCAATTGTTATGATACTTACATGACATCATCCGCCCCGGACGTTTCCGCCATCCTCGTTTGGGGGTGTGACATATAACTTACAAGTCGGTTATGTATTGGTGATGCGAAAACGCATTAAGAAAATGATGTTATAAAACACAATGTCATGCACGATTTGGTGAGTAAAGGATGAAAGCTTATGAGTCAAAGTTTATTCATTCCCTTTTCCATAATGGGAAAAGTGATATCTTTGGGCCCCTCGGTGATTTATTGTTGACTTATAGTGCTAGGCCCAACCAGAACTAAATTTATGTGTTCAATTAGAAGTCTTATGGTATCATCACAAATCAGAAATAGGAAAACAAAACTCGAACAATGAGATTGATTCTATTCCATATTTCATATCAATATGATATCTTGAAGAATGGATGAATATTTGATCACTTATGTTGGGGTCAACATTCTGTTCAGAGTTTGGCAGTTACTATGGAAGCATTATTTGCCATCTAATTTAGAAGTTATATCGATAATTGTAGTTATAGACTTATCCAAGTGGGAGACCGTTAGATTAGGTGTTTAAGAAAATAACTGAATTAGTATATGTGACATCCCTAATTTCTAGCCCAGAAAAGACTGATTTAGTTTATGCTTTTAAAATAAAATTAGAGTAATCTCTCCGATAAAAATTTGCATAATTTGACCTAAAACAAAATATGATAAAAATTTATCAAAACATTTCTTAAAGAAATGTATTTTTCATTTCATTACAAAACTTGGGATGTCCACATTGATACAGACTAAAAGCATAAACAGTATATTATAGACCTTACAACAGATATTTACATCTAATGGCCTATAATCCAAAAATCCATCTTCATCATCCAACTATGCTCTCGGTCCACTACCTGTAATATAAAAAGTTGAGTGGATCAGGCTTGGGAGCTTGGTGAGCATATAGGGTTTTCAACCCACAATAAATAAATTTATTAATTTCATCAACCAACAATAACTTTATTAATTTCAATAACCAACAATATCCTTGATTAACCATTCCAGTTATCCTCACTTTACGTCCCTAAACACGTATCACAAGGGACCTAGTCTAAGGATCATCATCGGGGTGACAACACTGGTTAGGGGATTCCTTAGCAATACATGTCAGATAAGGCAACCAGGGGGCGATGGAGTACATCTTCTGAATACTTAGTTCAAAAACACTTATAGGTTGCGAGCCTGCTAGCGTTCCACGGGACTATCTAGAATAATACATGATCGTTATATATACTCCGCTAGATGAATGGAATAACAACAACTATTTCATCTACCAATGTTATACCTAACATATTTGTAGATAAAAATACATATATAGTTCAAATCATTGTAAACATGTATAAAAACTTCATTCAACATCCATCTCAAATAAACAAACAATATTTATACACATAGCACATATTTTATAGAAAATACATCATATGTATGTGTAAGATGAAAGTGACCACACACTCACTTGATAATACGGTAATTGGGTAGCACTTCGTCCCTTAAAACAATCTTTTTCGATAAAATCGAGATGTTTTCTCAAAAACCGGGCTTCATGTGGGCAGAGTTTCGACTTGAAAACTCTTTTTCTCGGGATCTTCGGGTGCTTCGGGACTTGCTTATGATGCTAGGATAGTATTTTAGGTTTAGGGGTAATATTTGCAACATAGAAGAAAGTATACGGTAAGAGGATGGAAATTTGTAACCTAAAATCGGATGGCATTGTGTTCTATTTATAATGGCTGAACACCCAAGTTATTCTAGGCGTAACTCTATGGTATGCGGGACGTACTGCTTCTTCAACCAGTATGTTGGGCGTACATCGAGTACGTTGGGCGTACAAATGGATTATCTCAAACTCGTCAAGGCTATGAACATGTGTCCACCATGCAATGGGGTAGGGCTACGTGGCCAATTTTGGATCGTGAACACAAAAGTTCGTTGGGCGTACATATCTTGTACGTTGGGCGAACATATTTATACACGAAGCGTACCACTTGGTATGCTGGGCATTCTTCCAGCCTCAAAGTTTGTGCCTGAAACTTCAAAAATTCATATCTTTCACATACTTGCTCCGTTTTTATGTTCTTTATATCCACGCATAGGTGAAATTATGCTCTACAACTTTCGTTAATACTTCGTCAGCTAATTCTGAATTTATATTTAAAGTTATATTTTAGTAGGCCAGGACATGTAAAGTCCGTTAAAAATTCATAGGTTCTTCATTCGACGTCCGTTTTCGTCTGTCTTTTTAGCGTTAAACTACAATCGACAAGATCTATGATTCTCGTTTAGGTTGTGTCGGCTAAAATTCGCTCAATTTAAAATTTGAGTTTTGGGCTGCAAATTGCTATACCAAATCTTAGAAAAATCATAACTTCCTCATACAAAGTCAGTTTTGGACAATAGTTTTATGCACGCTCTCGGTTTAACGTATACTACGACTTTCGTTTAGATCGATAAGGCTAAAAAGCACTTTATTGTAAATTCACTTTTTACGTCATAAATCGTCGTGTCGGTTCTGTTGCGAAACTTCGACGGGTCATAACTTATTGGTTATAACTTGGATTTTGGTATTGTTTATATCTTCGGAATCCTTGTTTCACATCCTTCATAGATATCGTGTTTATCTAACATTTATTTTTGACACTTATTTTTATCCTTAATTTATTACATCATAATAGTTAAATATAAGCACATAATATACGAATAATACATCTTTATTATTTCAAAATAAGTTACAAAGGTTGACCTAGACAATTACATCAACAAAAATGCCTAACGTAGAAACACGGACGTTACAATGCTCTCCCACTTAGGATGATTCCATCCCCGGAATCTTACATCAGTAAACAAATGCAGATAGTGACTCATCATGTCACTCTCCGTTTCCAAGCCCATTCGTATGTTTCCATCGCACAAGCACTAAATCAACCATCTTGCATCATAACTTCTTAGTCTTATGGTTAACAATTGCCTTTGATTCTTAAATTAACATCTTGCTTTCATTCAACCTTAATTCAGAAATTGGAATTATGTCGGTAACTTCTCCCGTGAACTTCCTCAAATTAGACACATGGAAAGTTTTATGAATACCATCTAGTTCTTCTGGTAGTTCTAGCTCGTAAGCTTGGTTACCATTCTTATGAATAAGTTTAAACGGTCAATTAAACCTTGGGCTCAACTTTCCTCTTTTACCAAATTTTATAAGTCCCTTCCACGACAAGAATTTATGTAAAACTGAATCTCTAACATCAAATATTATCGGTTGTCTTTTCTTGTCAGCATAGCTCTTTTGACGATGCTGAGCTGCTAATATCCTTTTCCTAATCACTTTTAACTTTTCAGCAGTCTGATGAACTATCTCAGGTCCCATAAACTACTTTTCTCCAGCTTCAAGCCAACATGATGGTGTATGACACTTTTGATGGGTTTTGAGCATTCTAACACTTCCTAAGTGTACATGAAACCGTAATAACCTTGGATCTATGTTTGTCTAATTATCATGCAAGTTGATTTCCAAGGCTATGATCCTATCTAGCATACATGGGGAACAATTTGAACTTGAATAATAGATAGAACTACATACCTTGTTGTTGTAAGTGTTCCTTGAAACCTTGTGAGCCTAGCACCTCAAGTGTGATGCCTCAAATGCTTCACACAACACCAAATGCAAAGTATAAACTTGAGAGAATACTCTAACAAACTCAAAATCGGCCAAGCCCTGTTGTTTCTCTAGTGTAGCCGATTTTGGGGAGAGACATGGTCCTTATATAGTGTGTTGCATTAGGTAAAACCCTAATGTAACATGACTCTTCATTTCTCAATCCATGGGTTAATTCCATGGAGCATCCTATGGGTGGAACCCAACTTGATAATCCATGGAGCCTTTTAGCCCACTATATAAGATATGGAAGATTTACATAATCTACCCATATATTTAATTGGTTATTCTTTTGATCACTTAATTAATTCTAAATTAATTCTTGATCAAAACTAATTAAATAATATTATTAATATATTAGAACTTATAATATATTAATAAACCATATGTGTTATTTCTCTCATTTAGTTTATCCAATTGCATGGTGCCATGTAACCCAAATGGACCATGCCGGGTCGGGTCAAGTATTTACCAGAAATAGTTATGGACTTAGACACCTTATCCAACAACTTTTTTCCACACAAAGCATGATAAGGTTCCATGTTAATGCTCGAGTGGAAACTATTGTTGTAGGAAAATTCTTTCAAA